GGCAGGACACCAGCATGGGTGGCATAGAGGTGGCGATGGGTGGGAGCATGAGAGTGTGGGCTGCCCCTCAGGATTTAATCCCCTGCAGACAAGCCAGGGAGGAAGCCCAGGCTCAGAGATTAAGTTTACCTGTTCACCTGCTTGCTTGAAGATAGGTGAAAATGACTCTCGAACCCAGGCCACTTCAATTCACTTTTCCCCTCGCCTACCTGCCCCTGCCCTCAATAGTCTCACGTCAAGCTATTTCCTGGCATGACTTTAGCCTACCCACTTCTCTCCTTTTCTTGACTGCAGTCAGCATCATCATGTTGGCAAGAGCTAAAAGGGGTAGGGTTAATCACCAACGGGATGCATGGGGAGGGGGGTGAGGGAGGGGACACCTCTAGAGTTTTTCTGCCCAGAGTCCTCTGGGTCCGGAAGTAGCAGCATCTCCTGGAGCTCATGAGAAACGCAGAATCTCAGGAGCCGCCCCACATCTACTGCATCAGCCTCTGCTCTGAACAGGACCCCTGGCTGTCTGCAAGCACCCTGAAGCTCAAGAGGTCTAGAGCAGGACACAGCTAACTCAGGAGGTGGAAACAGCTCATCCAACGCCCCCGGAGAACTTGGAGTATTTGTCACCATCTTGAAAATGATGGATTTACTCACACAGCTGCAGGTGGGAGTTGTGCTCTCCCAATTTTACCTGAGAAACTAAAATGCACACCCTCTGATACAGAACAATCAGCAGAGAGCCACGGCCAAGTGTTCAAAGCCTAGAGAAGAGGCCGGCCACCCTGTCTCGCAGGCCAGAACCACACCTGCAGCACACCTCATAAAAGGAGTACAGTCTGCAATCCCAGCGCTCCACACCCCGTGAAAGGACCACTCGCACCTCTTGCTGAGACACCTCGCCCAGTCGCATCTTCTTTGAAAGCCAGTCAAATGCTGGAGTTGGCAACTGTGAGTGTTTAGAAAGGGTGATACTGCAGAAAACACACATAGGAGGTGCATTCAGCCCTGTCCTGCAGATGAGGTGTAGGAAATGCTGAGCATCCAGCCTGGACCCTGTCTGTTCACGGGTCGGAGGGAGCCAGTGCTCTGCATGCCTGCAGACGGAGTGAGGGGCGAGAGGGAGCAGAGATGCAAATGGGCAGACCTCACGCCCCACAGAAGATCAGCTGTCCTTCCCCAGAAATCAATAAAAAAGAAGAGGAAGGGGCAGAGGTGGGGGGAGAACATTACTAGAAGGGCAGGGGAACCTTAAATTCAATCAAATATATAAGAACAATGACACTTATTAGAAAAATATTTTCTAAAAAATTAATGCCCAGTCAGCAGCCCAAGTCTTGAATGACTAACCAGTGGAGAGAGAAGTTGGCGCATTTAAGGACTCTGCAATCAGGAGTCACCCTCACAGGAACAGGAGAGCCCCTGAGTGCAGTGAGTGTCTGGGGCCAACATTTGCAGGAAGGGAAAAGGACCAGTCAGCCAGGTAGGAGCTGCGCTGTCTTAGGCTGACCCCGGGGGTAGGGCGGAGGGGAGTCATATCGATGATTAATAGCACCCTATGTGTTTTTTTCTTGAAGACTTCCCTACGAAAGTTTGCAAATATTGAAAACATATGGTATCTGACCTCAAAGCATCCCTCTGGCCTGTAAGCACTGAGGCATATGAAGCCAACAATTTTAAAAGGAACCAATATTAATGTTTGCAGTTATTTAGTACATGTCTAGAAACTACAGGTAAGAGCAAATTTAGAAAAAGTTCAGTAAAATGCATGAAGGATGCAAAAAGCTGTGTAATGGCCACCATCCAATCCCAGAGCCCACTGCATGGTGGGCATGCAGGACCCAAGGTGGGGGACCCTCCACAAATGTCTGCCCCTCAAGAGGGGGTGGCTCTCTGCGGGCTGCCATCACATCACTTATAAAACTCTACCAATATTGATTTTACTACTGCATCTATCTATAACCAGGGCATAGGGCAAAGGGGAAAAATACAACTCTTCCAGAATTTCAATAAGTTGTATCTCTCAGAATTGTTTCCTCTGAATTCAGAATCGTATTAGTATTCGAGGCCACACTAGGCCACTCAAATCTTATTAAAGAGGCACTCCACCCAGCTTCATTTCTTGTTATCTACATGTGTAAAATGGTAAACTCTTTGAAGCTATTTCAACTGCAGTCTTTGTATATAAAACAATTTAACAAAATTCACATGTGCTATAATTGCTTTAAAATGCGTGAACACACACATATTGGTCATTTAATCCTTATTTACCCTTAGGACACTCAAGTAATTGGTATAATAACTTTAAAAGCAAATCAAATCTTATTAATGCTTTCCAAGTACTATAAAAATCTTAAGTCAATGAATGTTTTGTAAAGTACGACTATCAGGAAGAAAACACACACAAATATTTTACCATTTAGTTCCTGAAAAGGCTTTTTGATTTATTTATTGAATCTTAGGAGACTCTGTTGAAAATAAGACCGTCTGAGGAAACTGCTAGAGGAGGTTAACATGGTTTGGGCAGCGAGTTATGGATATATTAATAGCTACAACTCAAAGAAGAAACTACCCAGAACGTATAACACACAAGGACTATCTTGGATGTTGACAAGCTGTAAGCCTGGCTTGGCCCACAAATTGCTTACAGGTTTGCTGGGGAGACCATTCAGGTCTCCACAGGAAATGCACGCGCTGTGTAGGGGGGAATGTCACGCACTTAAATATTTGCTGGTCTAGTCTGAATTTTGACAGTACCAGGGTGACTTCATATCTAGCACCAAATGTTGAATAAATATCTATTGGCTCAAAAACACACTGAGCTATTTTGCTCTTAAAATTATTAAAGGAAGATAGGCTTCATCCACATTCTAAAATAAAAATATAAGGGTAAAAAAAGGTAGCAAAGATGAGCAGTTCAGAGAAAGAGATCAAAGGTGGTCGAAGAAGGTTCTAGAGAAAAGATAAGAAGCAGAGCTGGGCCTTGGAGGACGGATGACTCAGACATGTGGAAAGAAGGGACAGCATCCAGGCAGGAGGACCCTAGAGAGTAAGGGCATGAAGGGGCCATGCATCACATGTGACCAAGGTCAGCAGACAAATGAGTTACAAACACATGTTCTGCACTCCTTATCTGAACGTCTGCTGCGGCTGTCCCACGTCTAGGGCCCACGCACATTATCATCATCTCATTCACTCACTGACACAAGCGGACTCAATGGATAGAAGTTATAACACTTTACAAAAACTCAATCTATAGCAAAGAGAATTGGATCAATAGGGCGGCTGTTCCTGCATTCGAGAGCCTGCAGAGGCATCACTTTCTTTTCCTGAAGCAGCAAAATTCCTGGACCTGGGAGGCAACGGCATCTCCTGGGCTCTATCCCAACACGGGGAGAGGGCGGAGTAAAATTACACTCCAAAACAAAACACCGTGCTTCCTCAGAATGAGCCGCATCTGCTCTGTCTTGTTGGTACACAAAGTATTAGGGTCTTAAGAGCTAAGATAAAGAGGCCCTAAATTGGTATTAACTTACCTTCAATTTACCTCCAGCTAAATCCCCCCTTAATTGGCTTGACTCTTTTAATTGAAATAAGTGATTTAAAAGAGTGGGCCAATGAGCCGCAACAGTCAGAAGACTAAATAACCCTACCTGTGGGTTTGCCTGTTTGCTTTGCTCTTAAATATTCAACAATATAGTTGTAGGATAAGTGATCGTTTTCCCTCTGCATGGATATGAGTAAAACGATTAAGCCGTTCCGTATGGGAAAAGCTGTGCTCGCTGGCAAGTTGGCCTCCAGACTCTTTCAAAAGAGCATTAAGTTGTGTCCTTCATGGATTTAGATGGGAGAGATAGTGTTTCTATTTAATCGTCTGCTCACCACAAAAGGAAGCCACGCTAACTTCAGCAGGAAAAGTGTGCATTAAATTACTTCTGAAGCTCCCCGAAGATTAAGGCTTGTAGGTTTGGGATTGCATTACAATTAAGTAATAATGGAAGAGAAATAGTGTCTTTTGATCAAATAATGCATTAATCCTACCATACACTGCGTCCCGTTATTCACTCTCCGGTAATGTTGACTTTTTGAGGTAACTTTTCTTTCTCATTGCACAGGACAAGAAACACGCGCGGAGAGGAGAAGCGTGTGCACCGGGGAGGACAATGGAAGTTAAAACGCCCTGAAAAGCTCTCCTATAAGAATTAGTATTCACCACATCACAAAGAAAATCCCAGGTAGTTTTAGTGACAGGGTGTAGTCATTCCTTAAGGCTCAGCATATACGCAACATTTTCTGCAGGAAACCTGCATCCCTCATGAGCCCCAAATTCGTGAGGCCCACTACCTCCCGAGCGGAGCAGGGCTTGGCTGCAGGCCTCGAATCCTCCTCAGTACTTAGGACCAGAGTTCACTAAGCAATTAGCATATTGAGACCCCAGGGAGGCGTAGGCGAAGGAGTTTTTCAAGCTCTTTAGGAGCATTTATACACAGCTAACACGCCATTAATCACTCTCATCTGCTCATTAAGGCAGTCTCCCTTAGGACCCCCGCTTGTCCGTTCTTCCTTGGCTTGATTCTTTTTATCCATACACCTGAAAAGGAGTCCATTTCTTTTCAACGTATTTTATAATTACAAGACTTCATTAATTCACATGGGTTTGCTCCACCAATGAGTCTGCATTTCCTGAGTTTTATTAAATATACAGAAAGGCCATTCTCTTGAGGGTCCTTGTGGAAGACAAACCACGGAACCCCAGCTTGGCTTTGGAATCCATTTCAGAATTGGAGAGATCCGAGACCATTCCTTACAGCAGGCTATAAACCTCTGTCCATATCAACACGTGCTCCTTCCTTCTGTGCCCTACCAGAAAGGGGTACGATTTTAATTCACACTGTAATCTAATTGATCTAAACTAAAAATGGAGGAGAAATCAGATACTGAAACATTGAGACGCAATCAGTTTTAAATATCATCAACATCAAATGACATCAGCTGTCAGGGGACTATACCTCTGCCTGGGACTCCCCCACACCCACGCTGAGACCTCTGCGGGTTCCTGGGTCCATCCATCCCAGCGCAGCCGGCAGGGAGGCCCCGAGCAGTGTGAGATGCAGCCAAAAACCTCCTGGTTTCATTTTGTTGAGCCTGTTGAGAAAATGACAAATGCTCAGAGTTAAACACTGGAAAATATACACAAGTCATGGGGTACTTAGTTAGTACTTGTACTCCAGAATCAGATAAACCTGAGTATAAATCCTGGTGCCAACCCTTCTGTTGTACCAAGGAGGAGCTATATTACTTCTGAGCCTTAGTTTACCCACCTCTAAAACGGTGTCAACAATATGTACCTCATAGGGTTGCTGTTAGGATTGAAGGAGTCAGTGTCAGGGACGTAGTAAGAACTCTATAAATGCTGGCTGTTATGTAGAAATCCACTTGAAATGCCACTTACCACTACGTCTATAAGAACAAACCATGGGGAGAAAGCTGGATCACCTTTCTTAGGTTACCACGCTTCAGTTTCCTCAGAAAGCCTCTGGGGCTGGGCACACAACCAGTGCCCAATAAATGCTGGTGAGGAATTATGTTAATGTGCGGCACCCTGTGTGTAGCTGATGCCTCAGTTTACAAGACAGGGAGCTTCAAAATGGCATTTTAAGGTCTAACATTTTTGTTTCAAAACTAGTCATTCTTGTAGCAGAACCCAAGCATCCAACGGATAGATACTGAGATTTCAATAACATTGAAAGTGTCTCCCGAGGCTCAGTTGATAAATTGTCTCAAGTCCTAGAAGACAAGAAGTGGGCAATTCAAAGTAATCAAAGAATTACATGGATAAAAAGAACTAAAGATCAGCTACCAACAATATTCAGCTCCCTATCATGTGCGGGGCATTGTGCTAAGGGGACATGGACACGGGCTAGTCCATTTGTCCAAAGCCATACTTTTTTTTTTTTTTTTTTTTTTTTTTTAGGTCTCCACTGTGAACATATTCCGACCTTAATTTCAGTATCTCTAAGAAACACAGCCAGATAGAAATCATTGTGTGATATTTACCATTTTTATTCAAGGAAATTTTAGGAGTTACTGATTTCTGTGAGCACCACACAATTTAGCAGTGAATTGGTTGTGGGCCACACTGCATCCTGATCATGACTGGGAGATGAAAATACACAGAGCTCCTTGGGGGCTGGTACCCCATGTGACCTGGCCCAGGGCTGGTCCAGAGCAGGTGTCCCAGTCAGAAATGATTAGCTGCTTGAGGGACATTATAGGCTGTTTGAGGAGTCCACCCCTGCTTCCCCCCTAAAGCCAACAGCTCTGGGGGATCCTTACTCTAAACAAGAGGGGTTGGAGGTTCCACACGACCACTAGTGCTGATGGCAGGGCCACCAAGCAAATGCACTCCTGCCACATTGCAGGTGTATTTTGGCTGCCTTCCACTCCCAAACAGAGCTGCCTCTCCAGATTTGCTTTGTGTCCTCAGCTTGAGACAGCAATGCTCACAGGAAGAAGTCAGACTAAAAATAGTATGCATGTAACACCAGCCTACGAAAAGGTAAGGTTAAAAGTTATGGCTATCTTTTAAGAGAAGGTGTCTCCTTGTTTTAAAGAGAGTCCATAGGCTCCCACTCCTACATCTGTTTTTTCAGCCATTCATCTTTGACATCTGTTGGCAAAGCTGAAGCTACTTGGGAACTAGTCCAGGTGGCCAGTAAATATAATCTGAAGGTCGCAGTCTCGCCACCATCAACACCTGCTCCGTGCTCTGAAGAAGGCGGAGTTGACCAGAATGGTGCAGCTTGGGCTGCTACCAGGGAGAGGACTGGAGCATTATCAGCAGCCACTCAACTCTACATTCCCGATCTGGTGCTCTAGCTAGGGCATGTGAGCTCTCAGAAGGATGGGGAGGAGTGAAAAATCACATTCAGGACTAAAAGAACAAAAACGTCTTTCCCTAACTGCAACCAGTTTTTCTAAAAATAAATAGGGCAACTCCCTACTCTCCATAAATTATTCTCTTCTGAATGCAGAGCCATGTCCCGGGGACTGCAGGAAGCAGTTACTGGATTTTTGGGATTGTGTTTAAAACCAGAGACAGTAATTCAGGCTAGAACTAGAAAGACATTGCTTCCTACTCCACTTTTATTAATTCCTCCCTACTTATCCACTATCAAACAGTGCTCATGGGGTAAGCAGACGTATAAAAGGTCTTCTTTTCTCTCTTTTCATGCTTTGAGCCCAAAATAAACTAAAAACAGCATGATAATCAAAACTTATTCTGGATAGCACACAGATGTCAATTCCTGGAGTCATGAAATATTCAAGTTACAATATCTAGTATTTAGTTTTCAATTTTCCTAGTAATCCAAGACCAATTATTTTTGATGTTTTATTATTAATGGATAGCATCAAAATAAAGTCCAGTCATTTCAACAGTTATTTTGGCAAGCGCCAAACCACTTCATTTACGAGGGTGCACCCAGACCTCCGGCGTGAAGCCAGCTGTCTTGAATTGTTTTCCAGGAAGCTGGAGATCCAGCCCCGCAGCACCTGGAGTCGTCTCTGGTTTCATCTGGTTCGTGTTGAGAGTCCCCATAAGACTTTATTTGAAGACAGGAAAATACATGAGCCAGGCCAACCACTGACATATTCCCAGGTGGCCCCTTTGTCAAGTTTAGCTCAGCTCGGCCACCACTAGATAGGACTTTGTTTGCACGGCGGATGTGTCCTAGATGTCATTTTATACTCGCGGTGATTGACAATTCATTACATCTACAGCAGTAACAGCCTAAAAATTTATAACTCAAGTTTTATGACAGTTCAGTTCATAAAAAAGAATTAATGTGAGGTCTAAATCAATTTTGATGGTCTAGTAACTAAAGAGACTACGTATTTAGTTAAAACTTATATAGCAATTACTACATGTTAGGCAGTGTTCTAAATGCTTTACAGGTATACCTCATAATCCTCATTTATACGCCACGAGGAGAGCCATGATTACCCCTTAAAAGATGACAAAATGAGAGAGGAGAAGGGTCACAGAGAGGTAAGCACCCTGCCAAGGCCATGTGGCAAATAAGCGGCAGAGCTGGGACTCCGAGCCAGGCGAGTGGCCTCGGCGTCTGTACTCTTAGAGCCCATCCTCTGCTGCCTCTCAATACTTAGCAATATTTTATTTTGATGAGCAGTTGTTTTTAGGATGATGGGGGAAAATCTATATAGAGCAAGATAGGAGGCTCGGGGCCCCAACTGTCTCCTTTCCTCCGAAGGCTGCCGAGAGCTGGGTTCCTCCAGCTTCCACGGCTCCAACCAAGGCTAAAGGAGCAAAGCCAGGGGAAAGCCACGCTGCTCCCCCCTCGTGAACCCCGCCCCAGGATCGGGCCACTCGGCCTGCTCTGCTCAGCCCTCATGGCTGCTGTCTTTATGGACCAAGAAGGTCTGTGGTTGAAGAAAGAAACCATGAGGAGATGTACAGAATGCTGGGCAGTGGGAATGCCCCTCAGCTCACCGGGAGCACCGGCATGGTAAAGACAGCCACTTGGGGGGAAGTGGCTCTGTTGACTAATTACTCCTCAAATTCAAATAGCCCGACTAGCCTTCAGACAGAAGAAAATACAACAATCTCCCCATTATAGAAACGGGAAAGTACCACCAATAAGATCACAAACCCTCTTTGTCAACCTAGAGTTCCTTTTGAAATCAACTTAGGTTTATAAGCTTCATTCAATCCATGCTAGAGTCCTAAAATTGGTTATAAATCTACCTGAGATTGTTCTCATACTAGAGTTGGGAATACCTTTTCTTTCCAACAACTTGAAGCACCATCACTTGATATTTAAGACACCTCGTTTCCGAGAGTGCTTCACTGCTTCCCCCGGGGGTTCCCACCTGAGACGCACTGTCCCCATGCTCAGGAGAACAAGATGCCAGCCTGGCCACTGCACAGACAGGACACCACAGGCCCAGAAGGTTAAGGAATTCACCCAGTGTGTGAAGCCAACTCAGCAGTCAGGCCTATACTAAAACCCAGGCATCGTGACCCCTAGGCAAATGTTTTCTTTCTTACATGATCACAAACTTACGTATGGAACATATATGCATTCTCTGGCTAGACAGACTTTATTTCGCTCTTTGTTTTTGCAGGGCCTCCATTTAGTGCTACACGAGCCCCACTAGATCATCTACCCGCTTCTTGTGAAACCACAGGATTTCCTGGTGTTATAATGTAAGCTGATATTTGTACTATTACTTATTTGTATTTAAAATTATAGAGGTACTACAAACTTGTACGATGTAACGTTCCAAACGCTGACCTGCTTTTTGAAGAAAGGTGAAAAAAGATGACATAAGAATATAAGCAGTTAGGGAGGAATAGTTATGAATATGTAAATTCCAAATCTGCACCATCAGAGAATACACACCAGCCCGTAAGCTGTCTTTATTGAACAGGGTCAGAGGCCAGAGAGAAGCACTGATATTAAATTGTAAAGGGTTTAATACAAATTTCTTTTTTCTCCTCTGGGAACCAGCCCTATTTGGGAAAAGTGGGAATTCTGATCCTTCGAGTTCTTGGGGAGATTGTTTCCCATACTCTGTCTCAGCCCCTCTCCCAGAATGTGGTAAGACTATCAAACCGGACATTATGGATTAGCCACATGGAAATGGCTTCTCTTTGTAACTGACAGGACCAAAAATTATGAAAATGATTTGGCAGAAGCAAGCGACATCACCCAACCTTGAAGAGAACAATAAGGTTTGTGACACTGAGGCACCTGCATTTCCAACCTTTGTAACTGAAAAAGCATATGCACTAGCTGGTTACTTCAGGTGCATTTTACACACGGGATACTGGCAATTAACAAACAGAAACCAACTAGGGACCAGCAAAATCCTGCAATCCTCTTCTGTAGTCTGCCCAACGTTAAAAGGGGGGGAAAAAAGGGCCATATAAACCCTAACCCAAAAACAGGAAGCTATAGATTAATGTCTTCTGAAAGGTTTAGGACCCTAGTTTTGATTTGTGAGTGCTGTAGGAAAAAAGAAGAGGGTTCAAAATTCCTAAGATAGTCCCTAAAATAGCAACCCAGGGAAATTAGGAATACGGATATATCAGGGTAACCCTGCAGCAAGTCATAATGAAATTATATTGCATTTTCTATTAATTATCTACCTTATATCTTTGGTTAATTGTTTCAACATTTGATAAATTAGACCCCTAAATTTGTGTGCAATATATAAACCTATGGCATTCCGATTTACCATGAAGTGTCACACACACACGTATGACTTCCAGGAACTCTCAGCCTTCCAACATTCAGATTATACCTCTTAAGCATCATGTTCTCTCGACTGCAGTTTTATTTTACTTGAAGTTCCATGCCTCGTGTTATGCATCAAGAGATAGAAAACGTAAGAAAAGATGTGCTCTAAAAATAACTACCTAATTTCATTAAGTTAATAAGCACACAATTGATCACACAAGTAACACAAGAAGGTTGACTTTGCAGAGAAATACCAAAAACGCAAAACAGGAATTAAGGTAGATTTTTAAGAAATCTTGACTACTCAATGCCAGTTTCTGGAATACAGTGTTAAAGTCAAACAAGAAAATCACAACATGAAGATCACAAACACACACACACTCACAAAAATCCTGCAGCCCTTAGAAGGGGAAGGGAAGAATCCGGTGTGAGCGACAAGTCAAGGTAGGAAGCGCCAGCCAACCCTCCCTTAACCACCTCCAGGACACAGCCAACATGATACAAGTTCTCCCAATGCCCAGACAAACAAGCTGGCCCCTTTCTGGAAGAAAAAGAGCCTCCCTGGAATTAACAAAAATTGAGGGTGATTAAAAATTTCTAAGAGAGAAAAAGCCACTGGAACAACTTTAATGAGCAATTTTAATACACTACAGTGCATATAAAGTAGACTATCTTCTTGCATGACCTTTGGCTCAGCCTGACGTCTGAGGAGAGGAGGTGTCTTTTTTCCTAGGATGGGAAGAAAGCTAACATTCAGCTGAGTATGTCTAAACAGAAGTGGTCTAGCAATGCTGCAGTGTCTTCTCACAAAACCAACTCAGGAAGCAGACACGGGCCCTGTGGGGCATCTGCTCACATCTTCTGTCTCAGCTACTGCCTGACGGTTGCTGGGGCTCTGGTGTCGTAGAAGCCAGGTCATTCACTCCCCTGACCATTTGCTTCCCAGGTGAGACCTCCACCTGACCACTGCCCAGACCAGAGCCTGTCCTGGGAGCCAGAGGGGCAAGTACAGAAATTGGTCCACTCCAGAATTAAGAGGACACTGTTAAAAGTTACCTCTGACTTTCCCGAGCCTGGTGGTAGGAAAATAACTTGGGACTTTTGAGAAAAGTCCGAATTTCTTCCTGATCCCTCACAGATTGTGATATAGGCTTATTCCGGATGCACATTTTGATTGACAGTTATCGTGCCACCTCCAATTGAAATTCTCTTTATGTTTTGCCCAGAGAAAGTGGACCGATGTTTGTATCTCAGGGACCCATCTAGCACAATTCCTGGCGCACGGGCTTGCAACAAATTTAGGAAGGGAACAGACCAAAGCTACCAGCACTTTCACTCGCCGGAAACCTCAGCGGAAGCGACACCTAGAGGAGAGCGGAGGAGAGGCTGCGGAAGCGCTATTCATCAGCGTCGGCGACAGTTATCAGGAGCTAGGTCGGCAGGACAGCGCATGGGGACCAACTCTCTGGGCTAGATGCAGACCTAGCAGGACCCAACTCCGCCAGGCCCCAAGAACTTCCAGTAGAAGGATGCACAGCACGGGATGCTCACCACGTTCCCGGCTTCGTGAGAAACCCTACTGCTTCCAGCGGGTTCTGCTCCGGCAAGAGTGGCGGGCGCTGAAGTCCTCAGGTGGCAGGCCTCCGGCGCAACGCACTCAGTGCGCCGCTTTGTCAGCTGAAGGGAGCCCCGAGGGCTCGCGCCACGCTCGCCCCCAAACTCGAGGCGACACGCGCCCAAAGCGTAGCGCTCCGCCTGCGTCGCCCAGGTCCCCCCGAAACTTGGAACAGGTTTCCTTTGCTGGAGCAAAGAGGGGCGGAGATCACCCACAGTAGGAGCTCTCTTAGGATCAAGTCCCCTGCCTGAACGTCCCCAAAACAAACTGCTCCCTAGAGACTCCCCAGCAAGTAACAGTCGCCGCTCGCTGGGAACAGCGACCAGTCCGGCAGAACGAGAGCCGCGGGCTGCCCGGAGCCGGGTTGTGTCCTGGGTCCCTCCTCCGCCGAGCCCCAGACGCGGCGAACCTAGGGGTAGTGAGGGCCAGGCGAAGCGCAGCCGGCCCTTCGGGCTGCAGCGAGGAGACGCAAGTTTCCCGACAAAGCTGGAGGGAGGGGGTAGTAAGGACGCCCGCCCCGCGCCCAAGCCCGGGGCCAAGGGCACAGGTCCGTGCCAACGGGCCGCCGCTCGCCTGGCTCGCCGAGGCCGCTCCGAGTCCAGAGCCAAAGAGCAGCGTCTGCAGGGTCTCAGAGCCTGGCGCGGGCTGCGGGTTCGGCCCGAGCGGTTCTGCGCCGCGCTCCGCGCTCCTGCAGGGTCACTCTGGTCCCTACTGCAGACCCGGGCCACAAGCCTCTGCGCCGCAGGCTTTACCCCGAGTCTTGGCCTCGGCCAGGGTAGCCCTGCCGATCCCGGAACCGGTGGTCCCATGCCCGCCGCCCGCCAGGCGGGCAAACTTGGCTCTCCCAGCGCGGGCGGTGAGGACAAGCAAGCGCCCGCGCCCGGCCCTGCAGGGAGACGCGGGGCCGCGGGCGCCGGGACCCCAGCCGGGCGCAGCGGGACCGGTTGGTGGCGGCGGCGGCTTGGCACCCTCCCCGCGCCCACTCAGGAGCAGCGCCCGCGTACCTGCGGCGGCCGGGGCCGAGGGGAAGACCAGCTGACCGGACTTGGGCGGGCGGGAAGGAATGCCCCGTGGCGGCGACCCAGCTCCGCGTCCTTGGGTCAGTCTCTCTGGCTGTCGGCAGGTCCCGGGCACGCTGGAGGCTGTCGTGGCTGCAGTTCTCTGAGCCGCCGTTGCCCGCTGCTGTGCCACTGCTGCCGCGGCTGCCCTATTTCTGCCGCCGGGACCGGAGCCCGTGACGTCACCCTCCGGGCCCCGCCTGCCCAATCGCCGCCACCTGTGCGCGCTGCGCGGGGCCCGCGGCAGGTGCGCGGAGCAGCCGGGCGCGCACGCAGGGCGCTAGGACTCCCGGCGCTCCCGGGACCCGCGGTGGGGCGAGGGGGGATGTGCGTTCCTGCTCCGGGCTCGCGTGGAGCTCGGCAGGCGACAATCCCCTCCCAACCCCCCACCTCCCAGCACGCCCCTCCTCTCTTCTCTTCCTGTCTCCTTCCCGGGCCAGGTTCCCCAAGGCTGTGCTCTCAAGATGCACAACTGGTCTTAATCAGCGGCCAAGGCTTGTGGAGCCCAGGCGGGCCAGTACACCACACCAAGGAAGCTGTCCCTGGAAGGAAAGTCAAGTGATACTCCCACTCGCAGAGAGCCAACAACCTGGGAAAGAGCAAAGTTTTTCTTTTTCTCTTTTAAATCTGCCCTCTCTCAACTGCAGAATCTTAGGAAATCCTGGGCATATGGGGGTTGGGGGAGGGGGGTGGGGGAGTCCCAGGTGACATTTGCCTAGCCTGATCAAGCTGTGACCAGAGAGTCCCTTCTCCCTTAAAACAAGAAATTCTCATGGCCCTGACCTCACCCCCAAACCTAGGTTCCCAAACCTTCCTGGATAGCTTTTCAATATCCACAATTTTCAGATCCCCCAACCAGGTGGTCATTTTGCTTTTATTAATTGGCCTGGAGATCAGTCCTGGGCCCAGATAAACTGGAAACAACTTTGTAACAACGAGGGCTCCCAAATGGTCATACTGTAGCCCCATGCTGGCATCCAACTTAGGAGGGAGGCCCTACCCAGGCCAGACTGGTGGTAACTTTGGGCAGGAGCCTCTCTGGGGATGGCCTCCTGCTCTGGCTGTGTGGGCACCAGGTGACTTTCTGGTTAGGGAAACAGTGTCTTATCCATGCCCCTGTGATCTCTCCTGGCCTAGAGGAGGGGACAGGGAAGTCTTTTCTGAGGATAAGCTTAGTTAAATATCAGGAGAAGGGGAAGAATAATAGAAAGCTGACATGGAGGAAGAGGTATTACACTTGCCCTTCCATTCAACGGATATTTACTGGGCTCTCCTATGAACCAGGCAACGTGCTAGGTACTGGAAACACAGCATGGATGGGCCAGCAGGGTCCCTGCCCTCACACAGGTTTTGGTCTGGGGTCCAGCCCTCCCTCTCCCACTGCCTGGCTTGTAACCCAGAGTCATACGTCTGCTATAGGTATCAGTTTCCTCATCTGTAAAATGAGGAGCTGGATGAGACCTGGGTCTTCTGTGTCTTCCCACATAGATACCATGATTGGAGCTCAGAAGGATATAGGCCACTCCATCCTCAGTGCCCCCAGGCCTTGGCAGGCATGATGCTTTCTCAGATTTGACCATGAATCTTTGCCAAGGCCACCCATGACTGAAACTCTGAGGCTGGCTTGAGGCCAGATTCTCTGCAGCTGGATCGGGGAAGGAATAACACTTTCCATCTTGGGAAAAAGAGAAGAAAGACTGGGCATACAAGGGAGCAGGGAAATTTGGAAACATGCTGTGCCTCCCTCCGAAATTTATTTCTAAATCCATGGTCAAAATGGAGCTCAGAGGCTGGGTTCAGCTCCCTCCCACACTTAGAGGAATTTGGAAAAGCAAATTTCAGTTTTCAGTGCTAAGCGCAAAATCCCTGAGTAAGCCTAGAGGCCCTATTGCATAACCAAGGCAGGCCTTGGGGGGCTGTTTTTAATAACTCAGGGTCACATGTAAGTGAGGGTCTGTAGATTGACCAAGATCAGAAGTAGCTCTGTTTGATGCAGTGAACAGAGACTGCACTTCCATAAACTTCCTCTGCTTCCTTGAGAAGGGGGGAATGCAGCTGCTGCAAACCAGATGTACGGAATATCCCTTAGAGATAATGCTAACATCTGAAGTGAGCTATTGTGACTACTGTGCATAAAATAAGAGCTGAATTAAAAGTCACCTTGGAATAAAAAAGGTGAAGTGTGAATGACGAAATCAAACAAGCCTTTGGGGAAGCAGCATCAGATGCCAGTAGACCTTGGCACCTCTTTGAATTGCTCTGTGCTTTCACCTCTCAGGGCAATTCTTGGTTCAATAATACTCCCAACTTGTAAAATAGGCTAGATTTCACACAGAGAACTTCAGAATTTGCCTGAAACTCTGTTTCAGAACTTGCAAGCATACTGATGATTCTCAGTAGCCAACTAGGATGCTTGGCAAAAAAAAAAAAAAACCCAAGGCTAAGTTTTGAATTCATACAATTCAGTAGGTTTGGAACGGGGAAGTTCAAAGGAAATGAGTTCAGATCTCTGCTCCCAGCCCCCATTCTAGGTTACTGGTGAGTGATTTAGCCAGGCACACTCAGAGACATGCAAAAGGAAGTTATCAATGTATTTTTATAAGATCAAGAAGTTTAAAAACTCACGTATGTATTTACTTTACCAGTTTTAAAACTTTTTTCTATTTCCATTCTTACCAAAAAACACAACCATATGATCAGAAACTGCTGCCAAGAGATATGTCTCCTCCAGGTCATCTCAGATTGCACCTGCACATCAGGATCCCCGGAGATGACGCAGCCACGGATCAGCAGGAAGCAAGGCACCTCCTCAGCTTCAACCAGAAGTTTCCCTGTCACTAGCGATGGGTCAGGTCCACCCTGGGCTGGTCAGACAGTGCCCAAAAGTACATGTTAGAAGCCAGACTGGGAGGTCGTATGAGAAAGTAGGAAAAGGCAGGAAATTGTTCTCTTTGTCTTGCATAATTTAACATTCTGCTGCCTGTACAAAAAATATCTTACTAAATCTTCAAACCAACCCATGCAGTTGATTGAAGAAGCAGTCTAGATCTTAGGAGGGACCTGGACAGAGAGGCACCAGGCCTGGGTCCTTCGCCTGCCTCTGCCTCTCTCTGACTGGGTGAGGCTGGATCAGTCCCACCCTCTCCCGGCCTCATTTCCTAATGGCTCAAGTGAGAGTTAGGCATGGGTGGAGTGGGAGGCAGTCATACTCAATGAACTTCTAAGGCCATTTTCAATTCTGCAAGTCGCTGCCTTTATGGTGCTAGTATTTATAGAAGTTAGAGCTTCTCTCATCTAAAAAAAACTATGATGTTCAAGGTTTCTCCTAAGTCTAATCTTAATGCTGATTTCTTAAGTGATGATTCATTTCGTCATTATATATTAAGGGAATGTAGGCAATGAATTCAAAATCCTAGACCTAAAATCACACTCAGAAATAATTTTTAACTTTGATTTAGGAAAAAAGTAGCCAGCATGGAGATAAGTAACGTATTCATTCAAGAGAACTGTGATTTGGGAAATTTCTCAAAGCAGTGAAGAAGTGGTTTAGAGTAGGAATTTTAAATAAGAAGTTGGAATGAATGAGAGGTGAATTGTGACTGGTGAAAGAAGAGGGAGATGAACACTAAGACCCTTTGCCAGAGTGTTGTTTCAGGGACAGAGTCCCATCTACCTCCCAGGGTCTGGATTGATGGGAGGGGGGCCTAAGAAAGAGACTGATGACAGGAGGAAACCAAGTTTGGCTACTCTCAGCATTCCATGTGCACAGGGAGAATTGGGGATGGGAAGAGCATGCCTGCAAGCCACAAAGCACCGCATCCTACTGAGGGTGGGGGAGAGCGGAGGGAGGAGCCAACCTCCTTTGTTCAAAAGGGAAACACAAACCCACACATTTCTGCCATGACCCTGTTTTCCAACTCATCAGTACAGAATGGTAAATAACATGACAATCTGAAACAAGATCATTGCAAAAGATGAGCGCCCACCTTATGGAGATTCCAGTTTTGTGAACACATGCTTCATTCAAATGAATATGCAGTATTGCGTTGGGTCATCTTAAGTGCTGTGAAGAGAACTACACAAGATGAGGATCTATAAGATGGAACTGGACTTATTGATATACCACCCCAAACACGAACAGCCACTCTGACCTCTCTGCCCCGCCCCCACCAGGGCTTTGGCTACTTGCCTTGCTTCCTGGTCAGAGGGGCCCTGATAACTGTTCCATGCTTTTCCCACAGTCTGAGAGCCAGGTACCTCTGCTGTTACCACCACTACCTCAGATCAAAAAGCCCGGCATCTGGCACCAACTGACAAGGAGACCCTGGCCTCCAGGCCTATGCATTGGTCAGACTGGACCCCTGCGGCTCTGGCTTCTCCAGAGGCTGCCTAGAGGGCTCCTCACCACACATAGAGGTGTGAGGAGTCTCCTGCCTGAGACTAGCTGAGGGGCGGACTTGACCAGTGGGAAATGGGGAATAGGAGGGAGCCAGCAGATAAATTCTCTCTTCCTTCCCTGGAGGGTCTGTCCTGAGATACAGTGCTCCCTACGTCCTGTCTGAAGACATCCCTGGAGACCAAGCCCTCAGTTCCACTTGTTACAAAGTAGGCCCTGTTCAGTATTTTCTCATCTTCTTCCTTGTTCCTGCTTCCCTGGGATCGTACTCTTCCTCAATAAAGGGTTAGCACATAAGCTTTTGCCTCAGGTTCTCTTTTCTAGAGAATCCAGACTAAGAGAAGGAGTAACTGAAGTAAGAGTGGTGACTGTTTTTAAGAGGGAGGATGATGAAGTTCTCTCTGAGGAAGTGCTTAGAGCAGAGACCTGAATAAATGAGGAAATGAGAAGTGAGAAGATTCAGTGGAGAGAGTATTCAGGTAGAAGGTACAACAGGCATAAAAGATGTGAAGTTGTAACTGGCTTGATGTGATCCAGGCCAATGTCACCTAGCAGGGTGGAAAGTTCCAGAAGAAGGCAGAGAGATAGATAAGGGCCAGATCACAGAGGCCGTATAGGCGATGCTAAGTGAGGACTTTGGATCTGATGTTAGGTATAACGGGCGCCATTGGAGAGTTTTGAGCAGGAGAATGACATGACCTACTGTGCGTTTTTAACAGATCTCTCTGGATGCTGTGTGGAGAATAGACTGAGTAGAGGCGATAGCAGCTGATGGAAAAAGTGGAAGCAGGGAAAATAGCTGTTCAGCTGATGAGAGGTCCAAAGTCACGTCTAGCTCATT